TTCCTCTCCCATTCCGTACTGGTGTCCAATCCTCGAATATCATTTCATCCTCATCATCTCCTACCTTGTTTGCCATTCTGACCCAGTCACATTCCAGTTTATGCCAACTGTCCAATTCAAAAATCCAAAAATCGTCGTCAAAAAGTTATCCGTTGTCAATAAATCAATCCTGCTGTAGCGTCCGGGTCGGACTTCCCAGTTCCGATACCAATCCTTCCGTTCACCTTTATTGGACCTCTTCCTAGTTCTTATCCAGACTTCGTTCCTGCTTGAGCCACTGGACGAAAGACTCCGCTTCAGAAGCCTTGTTCATGTGGCGTTTTTTTCTTGTAGGTCACCAAAAGCGTGGCCGGGTGGACGACACCGTAGTGCAGGTCCGGTAACTCCAGGGAAATAGAAGCTAGTTGCCATGATTTGTCAGTTTCACCTTGGTTTTCCTAGTGTTTCTATGTTCCCCAGTGTGTCTCAGCCCAGCTGCCCCTTATTTGTCTGATTAATCACCCTCGTGTTTCTCACCAGGTGTTCTCAGTTTGTCCATTAGTTGTCAGTGTATTTAAGTCCTGTCTTGTCTCAGTCTGGTGTCAGATCCTTGTTTACTGTTCGCTTTCTTGTTCCTTGTTCTCGTGTTCTCTTGCTCTCGTTTRGATATTCTTGTTCATGCCCATACCTTTTTGTTATTGTTTGCTGCCACGCCAGCACTTTGTTTTTTGCTTTAATAAACCTTTTTTGCCACCCTCACTCAGTCCTGCATCTTGGGGTTCTAAACAACCAGCCAAACCTTAACACTAGTTCCTTTTTCACTTGGTCGAATATTTTGCGCTTTTTCAGAAGTTCAGTTGAGACATCTGGGAAGAACATGACTTTTTTATTCTCCAAGCGTATGTCTCCACTCGCCCTGGCAGCCTTCATGATCTGGACTTTGTCTGCGTAGTYCAGCAGCTTCATGACCACCGCAMTGGACCGTGTCCCCGCAGCGTCAGCTCGCCCGAGTCTATGTGCTCTCTCTATGATCAGCGGGACAGGGAAATTTTCTGCACCCAGCATTTCAGGCAGCCATTTCTCCAGAAATGCACGCGTCAGAACCTTCATTCCCCTCAGGGAGACCGATAAGGCGTAGGTTAGAGCGGCGATTACGATTTTCCAGGTCATCTACTTTTAGTTGCAGAGCCTCAATAGTAGTTTTCATAGCTGCATTATCAGTTTGCAAGGAAACAACAGTGTCCTCATTAGAGCTAATTCTATCCTCGGCTTGTGTAACTCGTGTGGTAACATTTCTTATATCCGATTGCACGCCTTGGGTAGCAGTTAGCAGGCTGTCAAATCTCTTCGCAAAGTCATCTTTCATCAAGTTAATAGCTGCCACGAGGTCATTAGTGATACCTGTTTCCACAGCCGCCAGTCCATCACCATTTGTGTCAGTGGATTTGTTGTTAACGGGAGGTACATCCAAAGCGCCATCACCAACTGGTGGAGAAGTTGCACCGCCGCCGTAGGCCATGCTAGCACTAGCTAGCCTGCTACTCCCTGATTGTTGAGCTGGGCTCAACATAGATGTTATTAGAGCCTTTTTGGAAGTTGGTTTTGCGTTCTTTGGTGGCATCTGGTCAGCGATAACTAGTACAGTTGACTGAAGAAACTCGAAGCAAGTTAGTGCAGGTTGCTATTTTAGTTTTTTAATATAAGATTGGAGAGAGCTCCTCCGCACATCCGTTCAGCTCCRCAACATGACCGGAATTGTTTATGAATAAAATATGGGCTTATGAAATAAATGTATATTATTGCTAATCTGTTTAGAATTACGTTTAACACAATGTCCAAAACCTTTTTAGAATTTAACTTTGTAGAAGTATTAAATGCCCTTTTTCCCACTGACATTTTTTGCTTGTCTTTGTTAAAAATTATTGTTATTTTTAAATCTGGGATATTTTTCATTCTTGCTTGAAAAGAATAAGCACACCTACACAATACATTTCTTTATTTAATCTCATAGCTGGCTTTAAGGTATTGGGTTAACTTGTCAAATTAGAGTGATGAAATTAGTTTTCTTCGTGTGTCTGTGTTAAAGTGAAAATCATTTAACAAATTACAGTTTGAAAGTGTTCTTGCCTTTTTAGGAGATCAAATGTTCTAGAAACTAGATTTGTATGATGGTATTAAAATGTAGCCAAGCTTCCTCAGAACTGTACAGAGTCAGAATCTTACTTATTAATAGATGTTGAGTTTTTGAGCACACTGTGTACCAACCTTTCAACAGCGATGGCCACCAGGGTGAAGACTGACGCTGACACAGACACGCCCTGCACAAATCCACTCATCTTGCACACTGTGTTAGAGAAAGGCCATCCTGTGGAGAAAAAAACAAACAAACAAAACTTTAAAGAAGCAAGCTAGAAAACACTTCAGTTACTTACAGCCATCTTTGATTTAAGACATCAACATGACTTCAAGGTCCTGGTGGGTAGAGATGTTGAGTTTTTGAGCACATTCATTTCTATACTGTTTTATTATTTTTAATTATTTTACAAGGACGCGCAGTTTTACACTCCATCCCTGTAAGTGGTGATCATGTTTGCATTATTTGAGAGTTCGCACCAGGAACTTCATGCAGTTTTGTTTCCTGAGTGAGAAATGTTTTTAAGGTGCACAGTGATGAATCTGCTCACACAGAGTCTCATGAGTTATAGGTTCTTAAATCATCCTGGTCACAAAAATGTGGGCTGTATGCAGTTCACAGCAGAAGGATCTGATTGATGTTGTGCACAAACACAATCAAACATACTATAGGTGTCCACTCATGCTGGACTAGTGTGTGGGAGGAGCAGCTCGACAAAGATATGTATAGTATATGTGGGAACTTGTTATTGTTAAATTCACATCTTTAACCCTTGATTTACACTTAACTACAAAATCTAAAGTCTCATGTTCTAACCAACAATTATGGGTGCTGGAAAAACACACAACTTATGAGTTGAAGTTTTGTCAAATGATTTTTTGCTTTAACACGAAAAACGTATTATACTGTTGTAGAAAAAACATTGTGGTAGTGGTTTGAACGTGTAATTAATTATTTAGTTTTTTCACAACAAAAACAGAAAAAAAAGCTGACTTTGTATAAATAATCTACTGACTGTTATCTGGTCTGACATCTCGTCATCATAAGGCTTTTCAGAAAACTTGAAAAAAAAAATAAATGCGAAATTTCATGTTGGAGCCTAAATTTAGTATAAAAATTGAAGTGGCAAACTATGGACATGAATTTAAATCTGTCTAAAGTGAACTTAGAACAGAGGAGAAAAACTTTGATTTTCAGTAGACCACAGCGGGATACTACTTATCTCTTCCCGTTGCCCCCTGCTGAACATAGGACATCTCTTTTTTTCCTATCACATTCAGTTCTGGGCCCTACTTCCTAATTCACTCCATTTCAGCCCCTTTCCCTTCATTTCTCAACCCCCATCCTTTCTCCAACCATTTCTCTGGGGGCTTCTCTTCTTTGTTACCCTGCTGATTCCAGAAAAGGTCCTGCTGTGTGATTTTATTGGCTGGCTTATGTAACCAATGTGTATTTTGTACYTTGTTATAATTACACAAAATGCTCTGTTAAGTTGTTATACCTGGCTGTAAACACAATAAAAACCACTGTAGGCATGTGACCTTGTGATTGACGCCCCTCCTTATTTCTTCTTCTGTGGTATTATTTTGTTAAATTGCTTGTATCCCCCTGGGCTCCTCCCTTTTGAATCTTGTCCTGTGGGAGAGGTGGGTGCTATTGATTTTTCATCCATATACATCCATTTTTGTTATCATTGTCACTGTAAAATATATATACACCCTGTAATGTGAATATTTGAGTGAATTTATGACTGTGGAGTAACGGTATCTGATTTTAGTTTTGTTTTATACTTTTGTTTTATGTAGGACTTGAAGTGGGCAGAGCATAACATGGTTGCCTTTCTGTTTATTGTTTTCATCAGGTATGTTAAGTGTATAAAGTTTCCTTTGGTGATATTAAAAATAATGCGACATGGTTGGCGCTTTTGAATCTTGTCCTGTGGGAGAGGACTTGGAGTGGGCAGAGCATAACGTGGTTGCCTTTCTGTTTGCTTTCATCGGAATAAACGGGGGAAACAGCTTCTCCAAAGACAACCAGTGTCACGGCAAATTATTTCTTCATAACCAGCACAACGCAGAAAAGATCCGGTTACACTTACACAGAATGTATGTCCAATCCATCTTAATTTTCTTCTCACTTGCCCCAAGTTCTTCCCCTATAAGATCCCTTTTGTCCTCATTTCTAATGCTATCATTTCATCAAATTTTCAAAACTTTAAAATTTCCTAAACAAAATTTTATCTTGTCTTTTTGGCAGAGGTGGAAAAAAAAGTACTAAAATAACAAGTAAAAGTACAGTTACTCAGCTGAATTTTTACTCAAATACAAGTACATGTGTGAAAATCTACTTATAAATAAAAAGTAAGTCATTAAAAAGTGACTAAGTAAGAGCTACATTTTTCAAAGAAGAGTATGATGTATAGTGGAGGATATGATTATGTAATATAAAGCCTCACTGTCTGTCTGTCTATTTACAGTACCTATCTATATTTCAAGGGGGGTGCCACAAAATTGATGCACATCAGRATCATGATTCTCATTTACAACGATTCAGAATCAATTTAAAATGTCCTAAAATCRATTTTAAAATAAAACAAAGGAAATCCAATGGCTGTCAGCCTTCATTTTGTAACTATGTGGGACGTCCTGATGTCACCAGAAAGTACCAAAACAAAGAGAAAACTACCAAAATGTAAGAAAAARAGATTCAACTTGCCCCGTCTTTGTCAAAGGAAAACATTTGGACTCGTTTTGGTTTTTACTAAATGAGTCTGAATTTGACATGAGCTTCACTGTGTGCAAGGTTTGCAAAAGGAAGATGAAGCACTTTGGGACCAAAACAAATGCTCAAATTTCTCAAAAATCAAAATCGAATTAAATCATGAGATAGTAAAAGATTCCTACCCCTAACTAACTAACTAACTAACTAACTAACTATCTCTACCTACCTAACTAACTAACTAACTAACTAACTATCTCTACCTACCTACCAACCAGAAGCCTGTTTGTGACTTACCTCACTGTTTACAGGGTAAATAAATACATAAATAAAAGAAAACACACAGATCATTAAATTTGGTAAACCAGAGGTAAAACTTCCCAAACTACAGTTTAATAAATTTAAGTAACACATCCATCTATTTCTTCATCCATCCATTTATTTTCTTTATCCTTTTCAGGTCGCAGGGAGCTGGTGCTTACTGTTAGCAAAAGGTACTGGACAGGTCACAATCAGCGATGGGTAAAAACTGGAATTTATTTCAACACCTGATCTGTAATGATGTATAAAACATGTCCTTCCTTCCTAACTCTAATGTAACACAATGAACGTTTTTATGTTTGTGTTTGACCTAATCGTTGTTTAATTTTTTTCCTGCCAACACAGAGAGCAGTGGACTCTATCATATTTGCAAAATTAGTCTAGTTTCACAACGTCTTCTCTGTGAGGAACAGCAAATAGCTGTAAAGTGGCTGAAAATTGTAACTTAATTGGCAAACCACCTCTTACCTCAACCCTACTTACCCTGATATGCAGAAAAAGGATGGGATGCTTCATTTATTAAGATGTTAAAGCATTATGCCACAATCATATAAAGGTATGTATGTGTGTGTCTATGTCCTATAATTTATATTCTTTTGCAGACACACACATTTAAAGATTTATCTCTGTTATGAACTTGTATTGACCTGCATTCATTTCTGTAGCCTAACCCTGACCTGGCAGTGTGGTGGGGTGGTCATGGGTGTGGCTTCTCTGCGGCNAGAGCAGGGTTCTTACATTGTTAACAGTTGAAGTAAACATTTATCCACTAATGCCAAATTTTTCTTTAAATTTCACTTTGCACGCCTACATCTAAATGAATTGAAACTTTCCATATGAAAATTTGCCATCTTACATATCTGCTCCAATCAGTATGACCACAGCAAACAGTACTGTTGTCACCTGGGGTCAGGTCAAAACACACAAACTAAAGTGGCACAGCCATTTTTGGATGGATGCAACCCTGTTGTGTCGCCACACACTCGCTCCATTGTCAGTTTCCTGCCACTGACCCACAGAGCTGTGAACTGCCAGGAGCAACAAACAAAACCAGTGCTCCATTAGAGGTTATTATATGACATTTTACTTCGACACCTAAAAACTGGTTAAAAACTTGCTGTGATAAAGTGTTTGTGTGAAGCAACAACAGGTCCTCACAGGCAACATCTACGCATTACAGCAGTAAACAGTTTATGAATTGTTTGAAATCTTCAAACCAATCAGAGGTGATGTGAGTATGTAACAACATTGTTTTAGCAAAATCATTGGGGGATTATTCAAGATTGTCCCGGCTCAATTAAAAAAAATTCATAGAGCATTAAAGAAATTCAAAGTTAATTACAGTCAAGCATAACTACACAAAATAAATCTCCTGACACACAGCTGGTGGACCGACAGCAGGAAGGAGTTTGAAACAAGCAGCCAGAGAGCAGATTCATGTCAGCATTTCACATTTAATGAGGAACAACAAAACAACCTGCTACCCAACAGTCATTTTCATCATGTGTGGACACACTTTAATGACCAGCAAGCTCAGGGGTCGGATTTATAAAACTGGCGTACGTACAATATGAGGCCAGAAACTTGCGTACGCCACTTTTTACGCCAAGGTTGTGATTTATAAAATCCAAACTTGACGTGAAAATGTGCGGTGCCTCAGCCAGCTCTGACCCATGCGTACGCTCATTTTGGAGACGTGAAACTGTGACACAGATGGTGAAGTGAAGAATTATAGCCACACTGTGTAATGATCACTGTCAGAGATTTAATTTACCTTCATAATCAGACTTAGATTTTTATTCAACTTTATCATCAGCTTTCTTAGTAATATTTATGCTTCTGCTGCTGAGCCATGAGGACCTTTGAAATAAAAAAGTTAAATCTTAAATAAAAGTTCACGTGCGCAAATCCCTTCATCTGCTTCCTCCTCACGACCCTGACCTACAGACCCCTTCCCTGGCCCACAGACCCCTCC